TCCTTGACTAGAAGCTGGAGAAACTGGAGAGTGTAGGAGACTGTGAAGAAGAGTACCAGGACGCTACAGCTCCACTCCCCTGGTTTCTGACCATTTTAACTGCAAGGACGTGTTGGGAGTCCCTTTTGGCCTCCCGGCTGGAATCTCAGCTTCCTCTGCACAAGATTTCTAATTGCAGCTTCGGTTGTTTGATGCCAAGGGTGCTGACTTGAGTAGCAGGCACAGTTCCGTGTCTCTTGAACATTAAACAATATATATTGTCTTTCATAATGGATAGTTAGTGGAGAGAAGAGGAGGACCTGCTACTTCTAGAAGAGGCCTGGAGGAGGTTGCCCAGAAATTCCGATTCCTGAGGCCACTGCCTCCTGACCTGCTTTGCACTTTGGGCCACTTAAACTACTTTTCCAGGGTGTTCACAAGGCCGAGTTGCTGACGGGTTGGAAGAAACACTTGATTTACCAGCAAAAGGCTCAGTACTTTGTGATTCCTAAACACTTGCGGAGAGAATAAGGGAGGAGAAACCCCCAGACTTGTAAAATGAATTCGTGTCCAACCCCAGCCCTATACCCTGACTTAGCTCCTTTGGCAGGGTCTGTATAGGGCTCTCTATCCTCAGCATGGAGGCCAGTTAAGTAAGTGTTCTCCCTAAACACCTCAGCATTTTGGTGAATTTGGGCTTTAAAATACTTTTTCCAGTGCTTGCGGTGTTCAGGGACAAACAGCGACAGCGACTCGCTCATTTTTCCGAATGTGGGAAATGCCTAAGGGCCAGGTTTTGCAATAGACAGTCCTGCTCTGCAGTATCTCCCCTCGTTCTCTCCCGGAGCGGGAGAGGGTAAACAGCCTGTTATGTAAATTGCAAATCGAATAGCAGTGGGGTTCTGGGCTCCTTGCTTCAGATATAAAAATTGCAGTTGTGAAATTAGTCTCTGGCATGCGGAAAAAAAATAGAGGGGTGCAGTTTTATAAAGATCAACTTTCCACTGGTTTAGCTCTGGACATTCGCCAGGAAAAGCTATTTGCATTTGTATTTATAAGTTTACTCGGAAGCAAAACTCCAGTAAACGGTTTGATTGTATTTCAAGTAATTATTGTTGCTAGAGGCGTTGTCTGAACATTAAGGCGCGGATAGAAAGTTTTGGGGGGGTATGAGCTAAAATTTTTATTTCCAGGTTAAAGTTTTTGGTGCCTTTTTTTCCTACTCCACGACCTAGTTCAGTAACTCGTTTCTCCCACAACCCTTGACTTCACTGGCAGAAATGCCCCGCAGGCGACAGCCGTAATAGATGTTCGGTGGGACTGTCGCTTGGCCAATCCCGGACCCCCATTCCCTCCCTGACCGGCCTGGCAGGGTTACAATCCCAGGGGCCCAACGTAGGGTTCTTTGCTCTGAGGAGGGGCGTGACGTCACAGCGATATTTAAGACAAGGCTTTCCAGGGCCCCTACAGCAGAAAAACACGAGGAGGGGGACACGTTGAGCATGCCAGGACTGCCCGGGTTGGGGAACTTGGTGGACTCAGTGTGTGTGTGTGTGTGGGGGGGCGTGAAGGGGGGTACAGGGAGCGGGGTGGAGATGGTGCCCTAAGCAGGTCGCCGGGAGGCAGGCGCTCTTTTCTTTTCCAGTCAAATAGAGAGCAGAAGGAGGGTGGGGGGCAGTCCAGGAAATGACTCGTCTGAGGCGTTAGCCCAGTCCAGAGTGCACAGACCCCTCGGGAAGTTTCCCCGGCGTGTCCCTCAGCCCCGCCGGCCAAATCGCCCGCCCCCCCTCGCCTGGCGTGCCCAGACCCCCTTCCCGCCAGCGGCCGGCTTAGGCGCATTCTGGGCTCTGAGTTGTGCCCAAGAAGCCAGCCCGGGGGCGGGGGCGTCTGGGGCACGCTGATGCCGCCTTGGGGTGAGAGGCCCTTGACCCAGGAGCTCCAGGAAAAGGAACCGCAGGCATAGAAGATGAGGGAAGGGCTTCTCCAACTCCAGATGGTGCAGCGATCTCTGGGGGCTCTGCACGCCCAGGGGGAGGCTGTGAGTCCACAGCGGTCTAGCATCGCCTTTCCTGCCCGAGAGGAAGTGGAAGATTGAGGCAATTGCCAGGACAATGCGACTTGAAAACTCCTCACTGGACTGAAATCACAGACAAGTGGGGCCAGTCCGTTTGGGGTTGTGTTTGAGCTTTTCAGAGAAGTGTCCCAGTTTCCCCTGCGGTCTCATTTATGCGGACCAGAAGCCCAGGGGTAGGGGAGCACGTCCTGGGGCCAATAGCCGTTCTTCGTTATCAAGCTGTCAGCCTGGGAGGTAGCGTTTGTCATCAGCGTGACTCCAGCGAAGGCAGGAGACGTTTGCTACGTCTGGGTGACCCCGTCTGGGGTGGATTTCCTTCTTCTCTCCTAGTTGGGGGTTTCTGAGTAGAGGTTTGGTGGCGGCAGTCCCTCTGATTCAGCCCCCTCCTTCGCAGAAAAATAATTTTTACAATAAATAAAAAGAACGTTTATTTTTTGATTATGTTTTAAAGACAAAGTGATCCACGTTGCCTGTCTCCATGATTTAACTAGTCGGATAGCTGGCCTCGCAGGGAACCCTCCCCGGGAAGTGCATAAGATGGGATTAATTAATGTCATCCCCCAAGTCCCCGACGCGGGCCGTCCCGCTAGTCACTTAAGAGGGAGAGAATGTGCCAACATCTGCTGGTGGTTATCCCC